TACTTTCGCTTTCATCGAGAGAAGATACATCGGCAAATTGGCTTCCCGAAGGCTTTTACCAACTGGCGTCATTTCGCCTCTCCGATTCCAGCGAGGAATAAGTTTGTTTTCATTTTTTATACTTTGTTTGTGCTTTGAAGTTTCTTTAGCGGTTAGATTTGTTTTACGGGGTAGGGTTGCTAGCCTTATGCCCAACCTTCCCTGTATACCCAGGCTTAAGACCGGCTAGTAACTAGTGAACTAGTTAACCAGGCGAGGTTGTAGTAGGCCAATGCTCCCTCTCAATAGGTCTCAAGTTAAACCCTTCTAAATGTCAAACTGTTAATTTCAGCCTCAGGTGCAAGGGAGACTTGTGTAAGCTGTTTAAGTCTCGTGACGTCTGTTGTATCGACGGTGTTTGTGTAGAAAGTGAATCGTGTGTTAACTATCGTGGATGGAGTTTTACTTCTGATCTTTGTTGGTCGTCTCATATCTTGTTGACTTGTAAAGAAAATCTCTCGTTTAACTTAATACACAAAGAAAATGAAACTTTCTGGTATAACTCAACCTCTTCTTTCACAATTTATTAACTTCTGCATTTTGTCTATTCTTCTATATTGTTTCCCATTGATCTTTCCTGGTCTTCTAAAAAAAGGACTATATTATGTTGCGTATGGCTTTGAAAGCCGTCAATCAGTGGGGTGAGTGGTGTGCCTCTGACTCAACTGACTAACACTGTAATTGATAGGTATTTAAATTCCAGCAAGCAACTAGCTACAGTAATTTTAACTGACACTGAGTATCCACTTCATTCCCAACTCTCTCTCTCTTTGTATCTTCCCAGATAGGATAAGAAACTGAATCAGACTGTACGCTCGTACAGCGAAGTACAAGAATTCCACTGTACCTTACCTAGCATGTGTATCATGTGAGGAAAAACGTCTGTTAGAACAGAAATCACATATATCAACTAAGTAACAGTTGATAATCTTATTTCAATAGTTTAACTAACAATGTAAAATGTCCTCATTATTACTATTCTTTACATTACTTAAACTGTTATAATAAGACCATTCGAAATGTTGTTGCAATGTACATTCACAGAATTCCAAATTGTTTGGAATAAAGGGAATTACTATTATTATTATTATCATTGTTAATTGTTGATTAGTGATATGGTCCGAAATAGGATTTCATGAAGTTCTAATAAAAGAAACCATGAATGCTGTCGCAAACAAAGTTCGATGTGAAGACAAATACTCAACGATGGAATTGAATGACCGTTGTGTTATAATATCGCGAATTGATAAAGGTAAGAAATTGTGGACTATCGCATCCTAACCTAGGGGTAACTTGCTTTTAAGGGAACCTTGAGGTTGTAGGTTCGGTGTTTGATGTGGTCGTCAGTGCGTACTACTTAGGAGTATCATACTACGACAAAATGGTTTTTCAATGCTCCAACGTTGTCAGTCGTTCTCCAAATGATGTCAGTCCGTGATGAATAACACCTTTTATTCCAAATAGGTGTCCCCTTATGATTGCACACAGTGGCCATTTCTACAACGCTAATCAATTTACCTGTTTCAATCCATACCTTGTCTTTAACAAATCTAATAAGCGTTTATATTCACTAAAAAGTAACCATTTCTACTTGTCCAACGTAGATCTTCTCAAGAATGGATTGAATAACAAACTGTTTTAAAGATAACACAGTCAAATAATAACATGATCAAAAAGTTGACTATAGATCAGACATTCATCAACAACTAACTACGCTAGCTCGTTACTGAAGATCAGATGGCCAGAAAGAATAAGCAACAAGGAACTCTGGCTGGCTGACGAGAAACCAACCGAGAACTTATCGCCATACAAATATGCAGTGGAAGGAAGTGGAGATGGATTGGGCATGCAGTGAGAAGACCATTCGGGGACATCACGCACCAGGTCAGGCCAGGCACTCAAGTGGAACCCAGATGGGAAGCGACGAGTTGGGCGTTCAAGGGTGACATGGAGGAGATCGTGTGAGGAAGAAATGAGAGCTTGTGGGCTGTTGTGGAGCCAGGTTCAAAAGATTGCAGAGAAGAGAGTTCACTGGAGACGTGTTACTGAAGCCATATGTGCCATTAGGAACCAAGGTACAAATAATAATAATAATAACAGATCTGTTGATGTATAAGCGGGTTAAATATAACTAACAGAGAAAATTCACATCTAACTTGTACAATTTTGAATTGCAGTAGCTATGGCTGTGAAAAGTTACAATGTTCAATAGGCTGTACTGAACATATGAGATTTCAAAACATAAGCAACTGTTCAAAGTCTAACTAACCATTGATTATAGGCGTTTATTTAAAGGAATTGGAAATGAAACATTTTTGCATATTATTCTACTGATTATTATGGATATATTGATTAACAAACTTCCGAAATTGTCATATAAAAATTATGTAATATAGGGGTGTATATAGCTGAAAAAATTTATCTAGAAGTCAGTCAGTCAGTTCCCTCCAAACATAAACCACCAAGTAGAACAAAATAATTATTGACTATATGTGTACACCTTAGTCGTGGATTCCTTGAAGTTTGTCATAAGAAACTGTGACCTGAATGATTGAGGAATTTATGAATAATGCGGAAAGTTTGTAGATGATAGATGAATTATTTTATGAATTAACAAAATCTCAATGATATATACTACTGGACAAATTAGATACCAAGAAACCACTTACGTCGATCTGTAATTTTTTTGTCAGCTAAATAAGAGTGATATAAACATTGGACGGTCGTTTCTCTTTTTTGAAGTGAAGCTCATCATTGATGTACTCGGACAAATCCAGCTTATAGTAGTCGAATTAGTTAACATCACCTGAGTCCTACTAGTTGACCTGCATAGAGACCTTAAATGAGGTGATCCAATTGAAAGTGATTGACAAATACCACGGTCCACGTTGACACAACTACAGTTTCAGCAGGGTTTCCATCGGAAGTCACTTGTCAACCAAGATCATAAGCTGTGATCTCTGACACAGAAATGAACAACTTGAGCTGTTAGAAAACACTCAGATTGATCTGTTGTTTATTTGGCAATACTCGATTAGTCTATTTCTCATTCAGTGTATAACAGAAATAAACTTCACCACTACTGTTCTCAATGATACAACACATCGACATGACGTGCTAAAAGAAGTTGAATTAGGTTCAGAGTAGCCAGAACTAAACGTGACACTAGTTGATGAAGTCTCTGATAGTTGGCCTGAGTGGTATGGGGAGACGTAGACTACCTGGTTGGGGACCTCGAGACGAAAAAAACCAGTGGTTGAGAACTCTTGGTGACACGGCTTGAAACTAGTCACAATGGCATAGATGTATCATTCCTTGACATCTGATACAGCCAGAATATTCGTACTAACCTTTATCTTCAAACTGTATATTCTCTCACACGTTTTTCTTTACTTTGATATCACTCTTTTCCTATCAATCTTTTCTTCATGGTGTGTAGCGACTTGAGCAAACAGACCTGTGTGCGAAGGTCTACGTTCATTCTATCAGTCACTGTATTGAACGGCATGTTCACTTACGAAGTCCAAATTAAATAAATTTCCGACTTTTTTAAAACTCCATTTTTATGGTTAATGCGTTTACCGTGAAACCTGAAGGTCCTGAGTTCGATCACTAGCTCTCAATGATTGACATGATTCGAATAGCACCTAAGTTTAGATAACATAAACTTTGTTTGCCTTCAAGTGACCAATGAATTTACGAAGTTTAAACAATGGCCTTCATATACAGTTGACCGCTTTATTGAGAACTAGGGTAGTTTCTGAATTATTAACAAAATTATTCAACAAAACATTGAGATGAAAACTTCACATGAAGTAACCAACTTCCATGTTATCAGTTAGTTGCAGAAGGGAATGTACTTGCACTTAGATAATAAAGCGAAAACCGAGTCTATAATCGAGTGTAATCTTTGTAGCGAACTGACAATAATAGTCGAAGTGGAGATTTATCTGAGTTGTTTTGTGATTGTCGATGAATATTATGATAATTTCTGGTGCCTTATGTTGTTACGAAGGTAAGAACACTCAAAACTGAACACTTCATGTCTAAATTCATAAAAAAACCTGACAGAAATTTGAATATTCTTTTCGCGCCTTTTCTACGCCTTATGTGTATCACTTGTTCTTATGCTAATTTGTTCGTTTACCTCAAGTGTATTTACACTACATATAGAGAAACAATGAGTTGTACCCCTATTTTCATACTCTATCAATTGAAGTGAACATTGTGTGAGATTTAATGATACTACCTACCTGCCCACATCTTCATAGATAAAGCACTATCCAAACCTCTGACACACAGGTTGGAATTTAAATATCTAAACCAGCAAACCATAACTTCATCCAATACTGTCTTCTTCCTTGTATTAAACCAAGTGAGTTATTGAGTATCGTTGTTCATTCATCCAGAATCAGTGTCTATAATGTACCGTTAACCGGAAGTCTCAACGTATGTATCAGCCATTCTTATTCTAAATGTATCTCTATATATACTTACAATTCACATCTTTTCTTCACAATAAACATTTTTTCTTCTTGTAAAGTACCGTTTAATACACAAATAAGTAGGTAAGAAAAGAAGAAACACATTACATCTAAGCAACAATGTCATCATGGAGCTGTAGCTCATTCATTTAGAGAGTTGATTTCCAATTAGGAAATCATAGGTTCAAACACCCCTACACCTAATGAAATTTAAGCAGTCAGTTAGTATCATTAACCCTTACACAATAGATTTGACTCATTGCCTACTCCATCTGCAAATCTGCAAATATTTCAATCTCCAACAGTGTCTGTCATCTGATGTCCAATCGTTACACAACACTGAATTCAAAGAGTAGGTAATAAATAAACAGCTTAACTATATTCTATTATTGTCATCAAATTGTCACACAAAGTAAATAAAAAGTATACAAGAGAATGTCATAAATCACAGCAAAAGTGAACAACAGTGGTAGCAGCAATAATAATAATAATAATAATAATAATAATACCACTGGGAATCACAATAGTATTAGTAAGAATGAAATAAACATTAGTTACAAGAACATAACTGATTAGAAGAATACAATTACTGTTTGCCTATCAATAATCTTACTTTACAGGTTTTAAAAAAGAATAAGATCCTGCTTGATGTCATGTTTACCGAATTCTGTGTATATTTGCTTCGATGTCAAGAACAAAGCATACAAACCATTTTCAACCTTGATCTAACCCTGTAACAGCCAATGCACCAGCCCATTGATCAGAACCATAAGCTTTTCTTAAGCGTAATCGAACTTTATTATTTTGTATCTTAAAGTAGAAATGAATACAAAACAAAACATTTATTATCATTATTATTATTATTATTAGTAGTAGTAGTAGTAAAACAGATTTTAAATTATTTAAGAGTATGAAGAGATTGGGAGATGCAGGAAGAAGTGGAGATGGATTGGCCATGCACTGAGAAGGCCGACGGAGGACATCACGCGTCAGGCCAGTTGCTCGAGTGGAATCCCCATGGGAAGCGACGAGTTGGACGTCCAAGGGTGACATGGAGGAGGTCGTGCGAGCAGGAAATGAGAGCTTCTGGGCTGTCGTGGGACCAGGTTCAAAAGATCTCAGAGAACAGAGGTCACTGGAGGCGTGCTACTGAAGCCCTATGTTCCACTAGGAACCCAAGGGACTAATAATAATAATAATAAAATGAAGAGATTGGGCATGCACTGAGAAGACCATTCGGGGACATCACGCACCAGGCACTCGAGTGGAACCCAGATGGGAAGCGACGAGTTGAGCGTCTTAGGGTGATATGAAGGAGATCCTGTGAGGAAGAAATGAGAGTTTGTGGGCTGTCGTGTAACCAGGTTCAAAAGTTTGCAGAGAACAGAATTCCCTGGAGACGTGCTACTGAAGCCCTATGTTCCATTAGGAACCCAAGGGATAAATAATAATCATAATAATAAAGAGTATGAAGAAATGATAAATTATACACTGATTGATTACTGGAAAGCAACTCTTCTCATATTGTCCAGTTCATCGATCATTTTGTGATGTTATCGCCAAGCTAAGAAATTCACCATTTTAGGGCACTTTAATGAATGTTAGTTGGTCAGAGGTAATCGGAAGGAAGCCCTGGATGCAGGTTTCGTGGCTCAAATAGCTCACTAGAATCAATCTGACGAAAGTATTATCTAACTAACTAGATTTCTTTGCAGAACTCAAGAATAGTAAAATCCGAGGAAACTAGATATCTTTCATTCCTGCTCGGAAGTATATCGATTATATATTCATCCTCTGTTAGAATATGGACGACAATGACCACTACAAGCTGTATTTCTTTGTCTAAAAGCGATATTCAACTCAGTCAATCAAGGAGTCTAAAAATACTGTCTGGCTGAAAGGGTAGCCGAATAAAAATACCAGTCTGTTGAAATTTTTGTACTCTAGCAAATATGAGGTATCAGGTGACTTGTATACATCAAACGCTGTCCGTCAATGATGCCCACTCTTTCTATTCCAAGTTCATTTTGTCACGGACATGTTTTGAAAGTCTTCACCTCTTTACCTGACTTCGACTCCCTCAATCGACCAATGTTAGGCAGAAAACAATATCATGTTAGGTGAAGCTGACAAGATGCAAAGTTTTCTGAATACCTTGAGTGTTAATGTGAGAATATTTGGGGTACGTTTCTCACCATCTACATGCGAACAGTTGAGCCAGGACTAGTCTTCAGCGGTAGGTCGGCTAACAATGGAGAGTGAAGTGGCTGAGTGTGTTGACTACCTCACCTACCTGGGAAGTCGGATCAGTCCAGGTGAGTTCGTGGCCGATGAAATCTCTTCACCAATACGAAAGGCTCACTTGGTTGACCTTTGCCAAATCATGCCATTTATTGCGTGGTTGTGATACCTGACTGTGTATAAAGCATCTAGTGTACTATGCTTCAGCTCATTATCTTCTGCTATATAACTGTGAAACATGGCCATTAAAGGTAGAAGATATGAGAAGGCTTCGGTTGTTTGACTGCTGTTACCCGCGTAATATACAGCATGTTTTATGGCTCTTACAAGTCAGTAGCACAGAAGTAGGACGTAGAGGCTTAGACAAAAAAATTAAGCCAGTTGATAACTTTGTGAACTTTCACCAACTTAGATGGCAGATACATGTTATACTAATGCCTAATCACCGTCTGCCTAGTTGCTCGATGTTACCTGAAGTACATTTTAGGCTGGCAAAGGGGTAAATGTGATGAGACTAAAACACGACAACAAGCAATGAAATTCTTTGACCGAGCCATGTAGGGAAACGTTACGAGACGAATGACACCAGAAGACAGTGGTAGAAGACTCTAGGTGGTATGGTTCAGAATAAATCTCAATCACGCAGATACATTTAAACGTTATCTTAATCTTTATATCCTCATATTCTAATGGAGTTTGAAAACTTGCATCACACAGCGGTAATTCCTGGGCTAACGTTGATGCTGCCCAACTGACCTAGTCCAATGTGCAGTTATCTGACCATACTTTTCACTTGAGCCCCCAAATGCTGTAGTACGCGTTTACAGCCTCTGCCAGAAAAGTCCTATTAACTGCTTTCACGTGGCGGGAGGGTTTTCACAGATGTTAAACGACGAAAGCGAATGTCCGGAGCTTACAACCGGATTGGTGGGTACTGAAGGTCAACCTAGGGGAATTGGAAAACCCTGATTCTAAACCAATAGTGCTCATGGACTCCAGGTTCCAGATGAAACGAATAGAGTATGAACCTATTTCGGTCATCGACAACCATGGGAATGCAGCTCATGATGTTGCTCCACTGCTTTGTGGATTAGACTTTAAGTCAAAGGCTCGAGAAGTGGTCGCCTAAGACAACTAACTACCTGCTTCGGACAGGGGGCCCAGGCAGTATCCCAGCTCTCACACAAGAAATCAACCACGAACTTACAATATGAAAAGACTTTGAAGCTATTAATCAACCTTTCTGCGAATACTGAAGCCCATTACACTGCTATCATTTCAACTGACTACCCAATTTACTGCTATTATATTGTTTTTTGTTGTTACATAAGAACTGTATTTTTTGTTATAACCATTTTCGCTTTTTTTCTATATCTTCACTTCACTTAGCTGCTCTCCATTACTTGGATTTCCGGTCTGTCTGTACCGCTTTAAGTCGCTAAACAGTTACCCCTATAAAGCTGTCCTCCAATGCGACATCTGATATAGCTATCCTGAAACCATAGATATCGTTTAAGCTCGCTATCTTCAACGTCTGAACAAGCAGGTTTGGCTAGGACTCTAGAAACCGTTGCCATCGATGTATGATGGCCCGAATACAACTATTAAAAACTGTAAAGCTTCCTCTTTTCCTATGTACATGTCAACGGCTTTACTGAACAGAATTTATTCAAAACAGAGCTACTTATGCTATTACTTGTAATTTGCCGTTATTGATTAAACCCAATTGACCGGTCTCTATTGACATATGGGGTCATCCGAGGATACCTCAATGCTGTCGGCATTTTCAGTTTTGATATTAATGATGGATAGTAGGTCCCAGCAGAATCTAGGATGTACCTTTCGTCCCTTTTGGGACTCGTCAGCCGGATGCACCTGCCTCAAAGTGACCTATGTCATCCCCACTACGAGTCGAATCCCTACAACCATTGCTTCAAACGCTAGAGCGTTATCCACTAGCTTGTTGAGTCACAACAGCCACTCTCCTTATGTGAATGGTAAAGTTTTGATCTTACTACTTGCAATTTCCTATCGTTGACTGAACCAAACGAAAATAAACATTTCACTGCTAAAAATATTATGCTGAGTATTCTGTATTATGAATCAGCTTCTATATCTTTCGCAAATTGACATATAATATACAGGACCTGACGAAAATCATTCTACAACAGAGGTAGAAGGTTGTATTTAACAAATAAACTGAAGATGTAAGCAATAATTGGGATATATTTATTTTAGAAGAAAGTGGGTGAATATCTATCCAAGTACTAATGTAGCTAAGCATGAGGGAAAAAAAACTAGTAGTCAAACAACTATTTTGTTTAAGTATCAGCTGTGTATGTTAGTAGGAGCCAAATGACCGTAAGTATTCGTACTCATCAGAAAGGTGTATCTGCAACGTTAATGGCAATGATTTCTACTGTGTGATTTAAACCCATACCAACCAGTGTTGCAGTCAAAGGTACTACTACTAAGCTATTCACGATGCAAATGAACACCTGTAAGACGGCATAAGTAACATAAATTGGTCTCTGAAGACTAATCGATTTCATGTTATCCAGTTTTGAGTACTGAGTGCATTCCATTGATCATCTATCGTAAAATCTCCACAAAGCTACGAGATTCATAGTTTCAATTCACTGGTAGGGATGTAATTTTGTTACAGATTATCAGTAGGGAGCCTGACAACTAGCTTTCATGCTTTGTGGTACTCTACACCATGTGTTTCAAAAAATATCAGTCCATATTCTCAAATACAAACATAATATATATTTCATTATTATTACTTGTCCCCTAAGTTACTAGTGCAACATACAGCTTCAGTAGCACGTCACCATTTCACTCTCTTCAGTCTTTTCAACCTGGTTCCACGACTGTCCATAACCTTCTATTTATTCCTCACACGATCTTCTATATGTCACCCTCGCCTAGAACCCCCACTTCGTCGGTTCCCATTTGGCTTCCACTCGACGACCTCGCCTAGCACGTAATGCCCTAAAAACTCTTCTCAAACTATGTCCAATCTATCTCCACTTTCTTCCATTGCATATTTGTTGGGTGATAGGTTCTCGGTAGGCTGCTTCGTTGCCAGCCAGCTAGCCAGCCAGCCAGCCAGTTAGAGTTCCTCCTTGCTTATTCTTATTATTCTGGCCATCTCATCTCATCTCATCTCATCTCATCTTGAGTATCGAGTGAGGGAGCGTAGGCGCCAACTGTTTCTTGGAAATGCTTTTCGTAACGCGTCAACTCTCTCAACCACCAGATACAAGCACTGACTTGACTGACATTAGTGTTGGAAATCCGGATGTTGTTCACGCTTTATGCTGAGTGAAGTGAAGTGAAGTGGAATGGAGTGAAGTGGAGTAGACATCTACACTGATTATTTCAGATTAATGAAGACCTGTCTTCCTCTCTTTCTGATACTCCCCTTGACATCCTCATGTGTGTCGCCACAACAGTTGCCGCCTGTAGTTTAGACCATACTGCCTAGGTATGTAGGTGAAGAGGCTACTTCATTAGGTTTCTCCCATTCACGGTGATTGTTACTTGTCGCTGTTGTTATTGGTTGGATATTTTCATCACCTCTGTCTTCTCTACGTTCACCTGAAGGGAGTCCTGCCTTCCTTCACTGCCTCACCTCACCTCACCTCACCTCGCCTGTTCTACCAACTTGTTAGTTTTCACATGTAGATCTTCGAGTTTGTGTGACAAGACACTAGACGTAAATCATCATCGTTGGCGAAATCCAAATCATCTTCTTTCTAGGGTCTTTTCATCAATCCAGCCAGCGTATTCCCATCTTCTCACAGCTGCTCACGGTTTGTTGCGTCATCCAGTACAGCCCAGCCCAGCCCAGTCCAACCCAGCTCAGTCGAGTCGAGTCGAGTCGAGTCGACCACAATCGGGAAGGCGATCGATGATAGTAGGTGGCAACCTTGTCTTACTCCTGTCTTCACTTCACTTCACTTCGCTTCAAAGGCATCATTGAGCTTTCCATTTTGAATCACTTGGCATGTAGCATGATACAGTGTATAGTATAGCTGCTGCTGTTGAATGAGGTTTTTAGAGGTTTGTGGCACTGAGACCGTAGTGATGAAGTAGCTGCCTGCCAAATGACTTCTCAGTCGACGCCTCGATCAAAGGCCTTTTCAAAGTGTATGAAGTTGAGGTAAAGATGCGGTTGACTGGTATTCTATACTGTGTTCTATGATGATGATGATGATGTGTAGGGTAGCGTTTCAATTCGATCCGCACATGATTTGTACTTCCTGAAGTTAGCCAGGCATCCTGTTCCGGTGGTAATTTTGAATCCATTGCATCCTTTAGTCTCTCTAGGATGATGCGGCTTAATATTTTGCTTGATTTGGGTGGACTCATAAATGTTATAATTAAACAGTAATAAAAACATGCAAACAATTCAAACTGAGCATTTAACTCACTTTATATGTACAAAATGTTGGCATAATTTTTGAGGGAAACCGGCGTACATGATATTCAAAAGTATCATTAGGATTTGTCAATTCACAAAGAACAGATAAAGTACTGAATAGACAAAAGAAAATATTATTAATCAGTAGTCAGGGGATAGAAATGTTTTAGAAACAAATCAGACTAAAATGAGTAGTGTTAATGAGTCAGTCAGATAGTCAATATCAACATGCGATCCAGTATTACTGTGTAACAGTTTGATTTGCCATACCTCATTACAGATAGAACAAATCAACGTAGAACTTCGCAGGCAGGTGTATCACTTCACAGTAGTACTCAAAGAACAGGTGGACAGAAAATGACTGATATCAAAGTAGCCAAACTTGTGTGAGAGAATAAACAACGGTCAGTGTGAATATTCAAGCTTTTAGAAGACGTTAGAAAGTAAACACATCTGCGCCATTGTGATCCATTTTCACCTATATCGCCAAAGACTTCTCAACCACTGGTTCCTATAGTTTCAGGGACACTAGTCAGGTAGTTTACATCTCCTAACATGGCTTAAGCCAACTGTTGGGGACTTCATGGAATAATGCTGTATCTTCATCTGACCACCTTCAATCATCTTCTAACGTAATTCACACCTCATATCAGTACAATAAGGTAAAGGGCAGTAAGAGAGAATAGAGAAAAAAACATAGAAATGTTGTAACCAAGAGAAGTAGAAAGTCACTGTGCAGCGAAAATGAAATAATAACGAAATGTGATATGACAATTAAGATAAAGATAATGTATGCATGCGTCTGCCTCCAATGAGATCAACTATGGACCAATTCGCCTAGCATCTCTAAATATAGATCCTCGTTTCATGTAGACTCCATTCTGGAGTAATATATTCCTCTAACGGGTCATACCAAAAGTCAACGAGTTGACGAACTCGTGACATGTTTCAGTTTGACTGCCTTTCATCTTTTTGTAGTTTAAAGCTACCTTAACTAACATTGTGCAAGGAGATAGATGGTGACTTGAAAACAATCTAGTTTTGAACTACTGTCGCTGAGTTACTGAACAATTTCATCCAGTGGACGTTCTTCTCCACTAAGTGGCGTCGAGAAAAGGTGGACAGAAAGTACTCCATACTTGATTGCTTGGTAAACGATGTCTCTATTCCTTATCATTCATCAATAATCATAAACAAATTATCATTCCAATTTTTGTGGTTAATAGAATGATAAGAAGGGGAATTCAAGCAGTACAATTTCCCAATATTTATCAGCAAACCACACACTGATTTAGATATTTAAATGGTGAATAAAAGGCGAAAAAAAAAATATTATATGACTAACTCAAACTCAAGCAGCTGAGCAAGAAAGCTTTTGCGCTAAGATAAACCTTTAACAGATAGTTAATTGGTTCAGTCATCATCATCATCATCATCCTCACCAAAATCAACGTAGAATCTGGAATCTCTATTCAAGCTGCCACACTTCACAGGAGTATGGAAAACAGGAAGGTAATAGAAAAAGATGATGTTAAAGGAGACTAAAAATATGCAGACAGGAGAAAAGGTATAAATGGTTAGTGAAAATGTTCAAACTTCAGAAAATGTTGAAGAATGAACACAAGCGCCACCCACTGTGACTGGTTGTCAGTCATGTAACTAAGAATCACTAACCATTGATTGTTACTTACTCGGGAACCTAAGTCACGTAGTCTACCTACATCTTCCTATACGGCTCAAACCAACATCTAAAGAATTCATGAACTGATTTAATGTATTCGTCTGGTAATCCTGAGCCTTCTTCTGAACTAGTCCTACTCTGGCTAATATTGCACGTAGAGGAATAGGCTCTAGCTTGGTATGTGTAACACACGCTCCAACCACCTTAGTCACTGAAGATTCACAACTTCATCAACTAAACTTCTTTCCTCACCAATACCCTCGACCTTATCTCGATACTACTCCTACATTGAGCATACCACACGCCAGCAATAGTGAGAAGACATCTATCACCTCTTCAGATCTAATTTCAATAGCCATGTCTCATAACCGTATAGTAGGAAAGAGTGGATTGCTGCACGGTATACTTGTAGGGTAGCAATATGAGAAAACTGTACTATTTCAGCTAGAATGATTCGAAACGGTGTTACTTTTTTTTAAGCTAAATCAGAGTTATGGTGAGCAAATTAAGGGTGCAATTTTATGTGAAAAAACTTTGTTTTCCTATTTAAGAGTTGAAAGCAAAACGACTAGGAGACATCAAACTAAAAAATATGTAACTAGTCCATAAAAACCATTGAATATGGTTCTGTATTGCGCTTACAATCGTAATTGTTACCACACATAGTTACCATTTGATAACAATAAGTCACCTGTACTAAATTCAGTATGCAGTTAACTAGATATGATAGTAATCATTTCCGCTTCCTTGTTCACACAATAGATGTGATTCATTCTTTAAGTATATGAACATGGTGTAGAATGAGATTATATTTTGAAGAAATGAAAATTATTCTCTAATTTCTCAATCTACACTTTTGTTTCAAACAAGAAGCAGTGCAGAAGGGTATACAATAAACCTAATACAATATAAACTATCACTATTACTAGTTGTAACCTCGCCTAGTTTACTAGTTCACTAGTTACTAGCCGGTCCTAAGCCAGGATAAAGAGGGAAGGTTGGGCATACGGCTAGAAAACCAACCCCGGAAAACCAATTCAATCGCTAAATAAACTTCAAAGAACAAAAAAAAATATTTTTTTAAAAATAAACTTATTCCTTGCTAGAATCGGGGAGACGAAATGACGCCGGTTAGTGAAAGTCTTCGGAAAGCCAAGTGCCCAATGTGTCTCCAAAAACACATGGAAGCTCATACAGGAGAGGAAGATGATGAAGCAAAAGACAAACCAGTGCAGTGCAAGGATGAACAACGAAAAGAGGAACTGAAAAAGACCAGTAAAACACTTGACAAAGAAGTGAAGAAGAATGCACGGAGAGACAAAAGACACTTATGCGACACACTGGCAAATGAATCAGAACAGGCTGCAGGTAAGAGGAAAGACCTGATAACATTATATCAAATAACCAGGCAACTATCTACGAACAGACCAACAAACACGAAATCAATGAAAGATAGTGAAGGAAGGAAACCTAGTTACCAAAGAGGAGAAACAAAACAAAAGATGGGCTGAACACTTCAACCAAACAACACCTGTAACTCCTCAAAAACATAATCCAAGTAGCACAGCCACTAAATTACCAGTGAACACAATCCCTCCGACAAAAACAGAAATGAAGTCATGAACGCCATCAAGTTGCTGAGATACCAAAAAGTAGCAGGACCAGAGGGAATTCCTCCAAAAGCACTGAATACAGAAGACATAACACCAGATATGCTCACACCACTATCGCAGAAGGTTTCGAAGGAACAAAAGGTATCTGCAAACTGATTGGAAGAAGGGTTACCTTGTCAAACTCACTAAGAAGAGTGCGCGACCTAACTCTTTACAAGAACTCTGGTGGAATCATGCACATTATCTTGCAGAGACTAAAAAATGCTATGGATTCAAAATTACCACCGGAACAGGATGCCTGGCTAACTTCAGGAAGTACAAATCATGTGCGGATCGAATTGAAACGCTACCCTACACATCATCATCATCATCATAGAACAGAGTATAGAATACCAGTCAACTGCATCTTTACCTCAACTTCATACACTTTGAAAAGGCCTTTGATCGAGGCGTCGACTGAGAAGTCATTTGGCAGGCAGCTACTTCATCACTACGGTTTCAGTGCCACAAACCCCTAAAAACCTCATTCAACAGCAGCAGCTATACTATACACTGTATCATGCTACATGCCAAGTGATTCAAAATGGAAAGCTCAATGATGCCTTTGAAGCGAAGTGAAGTGAAGTGAAGACAGGAGTAAGACAAGGTTGCTGTCTACTATCACCAATCGTCTTCCCGATTGTGGTCGACTCGACTCGACTGAGCTGGGCTGGGCTGTACTGGATGATGCAACAAACCGTGAGCAGCTGTGAGAAGATGGGAATACGCTGGCTGGATTGATGAAAAGACCCTAGAAAGAAGATGATTTGGATTTCGTCAACGATGATGATTTATGTCTAGTGTCTTGTCACACAAACTCGAAGATCTACATGTGAAAACTAACAAGTTGTCAGAACAGGCGAGGTGAGGTGAGGTGAGGTGAGGCAGTGAAGGAAGACAGGACTCCCTTCAGGTGAACGTAGAGAAGACAGAGGTGATGAAAATATCCAACCAATAACAACAGCGACAAGTAACAATCACCGTGAATGGGAGAAACCTAATGAAGTAGCCTCTTCACCTACATACCTAGGCAGTATGGTCTAAACTACAGGCGGCAACTGTTGTGGCGACACACATGAGGATGTCAAGGGGAGTATCAGAAAGAGAGGAAGACAGGTCTTCATTAATCTGAAATAATCAGTGTAGATATCTACTCCACTCCACCTCACTCAGCATAAAGCGTGAACAACATCCGGATTTCCAACACTAATGTCGGTCAAGTCAGTGCTTGTATCTGGTGGTTGAGAGAGTTGACGCGTTACGAAAAGCATTTCCAAGAAACAGTTGGCGCCTACGCTCCCTCACTCGATACTCAAGATGAGATGAGATGAAACGGCGAGAATAATAAGAATAAGCAAGGAGGAACTTTAACTGGCTGGCTAACTCGCTGACTGGCTGGCAACGAAGCAACCAACCGAGGACCTATCACCCAACAAATATGCAATGGAAGAAAGTGGAGATAGATTGGACATAGTTTGAGAAGAGTTTTTAGGGCATTACGTGCTAGGCGAGGTCGTCGAGTGGAAGCCAAATGGGAACCGACGAAGTGGGGGTTCTAGGCGAGGGTGACATATAGAAGATCGTGTGAGGAATAAATAGAAGGTTATGGACAGTCGTGGAACCAGGTTGAAAAGACTGAAGAGAGTGAAATGGTGACGTGCTACTGAAGCTGTATGTTGCACTAGTAGTAACTTCGGGGACAAGTAATAATAATGAAATAATTAGTAGTTCAGTAAACTTACTATTCACCAAGTTCTATCTTTAGCAATCCATTTCCCAATTGTTGACGAATACTTGCAGATGTTGTACTACATGAATCTCCATGAAAATTTCCTGAACATCCTGGTTTAATAAGTCCACAAAATCCTCGATGAGGTGCCTGTAGACCTTGTATAATTAATGTAACCTGTACATCATTTTCATTTAATTCACTCGCTTCAATATGTGGTTGTTTTGCCTTTAGATATGAAGAAATGAAATGAGAAAAGTGTTGATAAAGTTTAAAAAAAAAACGATGACTATGATGATAACGATACAGCCTGTAGATCACTTTCAGGAATTGTAGACACACACATACACACACACACACAGGATTTTATTACTTAACTATAAAAATAAAACGCCAATATCCACCACAAACAAGACATGAACAGTGAACCAGTTGAACACTATAACTATCTAAAAGAACTAAGCATAAATAATACATGGATGGGGTGAAACAAACGGGGAATTACATCACCTTTATGAAATAAATAATTATCAAAACAATAGGATTCACAACGCCTTCATACAACAAACAAAGAACATAACAAGATTAAAACTAAACGAAAACTGATGCTGAGAATACAAAACGTGTTTCGAAGATGATTCTATGTGTGTATACGTGAAAACAGAAACTAGACTATGAGTTAGGTTGTTTAATCGTGAAGTTTTCATTGTCTTTCTGTATGAAGTTAGTGCTAATGATATCATCTAGAGGGATGATGAAAGCTTCACGAGTAAACAACTCAGTCAGCTCAAAGAACACAAAATACAACCAAGACCATCCCCATCTCAGCTACAAATATTCTCCATTATTTCAAAAACTGAATTAATCAAAAGGATAGGATAGAAAAAAAAAGAAAAATGTATTGAAAATTTGCAGTTACTTAATTTTCTTTCACCTATTCACTTCAATGTAACACTAACTTACGCATAAAATTAGTTTGCCTGTAATTACCGAGTATAAACAATCAGTCGAATAGTATATTACTCTATATCATTACATAAAATATTATAACACCTAGGAAGTATATATTATTCAGATAATAATTAAATTGTAATACAATTGAGAAACAGTGTACATACATCTTCCCATCAGCTATGCTATAAAGAAAATACTGATACTAGGAACTACTTATGGTTGATAAAAATAGACACGATAATTGAATACACGTTGAATTTGAGCAAAAAAATTGAATTTTTCATACAATAAGGTATGGCTGGTAAATACTAAGTATATATATGAGTTTGTATATGAAATGTATTAAAACTGTAACGCCAAAATCAGAAAATAAATAAATAAATAAGTAAATATTTTATTCTCATATTAGTAATTTAACATGAGAGAAGCCAGTTTACAGGCATCATCATATTGATATATGTTGGAAAATGTACAAGATTTTACAGGATCTAAATGGTACGGAATGGTAGTCATTAAACTAAATTAAAGACATCAGAAGATTACACAAGTCATGAAATGAACAAGAAAATACAACTTTTCAGCTTATACAGAGTGTTAAAGTTTGGATTGTTTTCAGTTATACTTTCTTTTTTCACCATTAGTAGCACCAAGGTCATGCGAAATTCTAAATTTCCGTTATAAGCAGTCGACTTGTTTGATTCGTCTTCGCGATGCTCCGTTACGCTATATAAACGTTTATTTTACCATAAATTCTTATGCTTATAGCTTCGGGTATCAGAATAGCCCACACTGATGATGTTGAGAACCTGTAAGTTTCCACATAATCACGTAATCCAAGTAAATATCTATCATCATCATTATCAACATAGGACCAGGCATTACTACGTAACACTCCTAGTTGCCACACCTCATATCAGCACATCAAGTAGAAAGGTAGTGAAGTGAAGGATGAAGATAAGTGAATGCAGTCAAAAGAAATATAAAGTACGAGAAGAAAGGAAAGAGGAGTGACAAAATGGTGAGATTCGGTATAGCATCGGTAAGATGAGGATAATGTGTGTATACATCTGCGCCACTCACTTCGGTTCTCAGCCACATCACCTAGGGTCTCTAACCACTGGTTCCTCTTATCCACTGACCCCAACCACCTAGTCTACATCGTCCTACATGGCTTAAACCAACAGTCAGAGACTTCATACATTGGTGTCATGTTTTAGTCTGGCCACCTCGGGCCTTTCTCCAGCCTGGACCCATCTCAGCCAACATTGTGTGATAAGGCAATCGGTGATTACGCATACCAAACACATGTCTGAGCCAACCATCTCAGTCAATCAAGGTTCACAACCTCGTCAACCGACTTACCTCTTCTACCCAAAACTCTACTCCTGACTTCTGCATTACTCACATGGTGACACCACGGAATACGTCCTATACTACGAAGGCAACGGTGGTCAAACATCTCACGCCTTCTCATGTCTTACACTTTCAATGGCCATGTTTCACAGCCATACACTAGAACAGACCGGACTGCTGTGCAGTACACGCGACCCTTATATATCTATCTATTCAAGTGTTATCATTCACAGCAATATGGATTTACACCATTAGAATTAGATATTGTGGTGCAAAGGAATAAACATTTGAAAATACTGCGGACCAGTGGCACTGAGTTTACCATACTGTTCATGTTATGATGGTGAGTTGCTTAGTTTTCGAAGTAGACATCAGTATGTAAATGTTTAGCACCAACTGATAGATATCGGTCAAAGTGGTAATGTGGTCGACTAAATTCACATAACATCATATTGAAGTGTAGTGTATTTCAGTGTTGGATGTCGATTCATAAGAAGCCCTTTTAGAAAAATGATACAGTCCTACAGCGGGTTAGTCTTGAATTGAATAGTTTAGTAGTAAAGTTATCGACTTCAGCACTAGGCAACTAAGGAGTGGATTTCTGAAGACCATAACACCAGTGAGTATATAGTCAGTTAGTAAACGTTAATATACTATTATCCAATAGGTCACTCAAGTAGATCTTTAATACTAAGGCATACTTTCATGGGTCATGACTGACCCCATTAACCGTGTTATACTAATTTCACCTAGTGACTGCAGATGTAATGAACGATTATGTATTGAAGATACAGAAGAGAATTATTTCAATTTGCATTCAAATATCTCGAATACAATCACTTGAATTGAAAGGTATTATTATAGAATTTTGTACAATTTTTAGACTCTATATCAAGGTCATCTGCCATATGACACAATGTTAGCTGAATTAACTATAGACTTGACTAAAATATGGGATGAATCCCTGAGATCTTTGACAATCGATCAGAGACATGTGTAGAGAAATGCAAACTTTCCCATCGATGTCCAAGTGATAACGAAAAAAAAAAACCAAATAGAAATACAGTCACCACTCCAATGTACATTCATATAGTAGGCAGGGTCAATGATATCACCTGGCTACCCAAACCTTGGTACGTGAAGCGGGGCTTCATAAACCAATGAGCTATAGCCATACTGTGACAATAGGAATCAGTTATTAGAGACTCTAAGTGACATGACTCACATATATCCAAATATTCTCCTCACCTTAGTTGTTATGCTAAATTCAGTATCTTCTCATGTCTCCTTGGTACACCAATCACAAGTTTCTACTCCTTTCTTCCATATATTTCTTCACCTTCCATCTTAGTGCTTCATCGCTTGATAGAGTGATATGAAGTGTGGCAACTCGCACAGTTAACCCAGTAATGCCACCTAGTTCCATTTTCATGATGATGATGATGATCTTAAAGTGGTAAACTGCTTATCATCAAACAAACTTTTACTAATCTTTTGTACTGCATACAACAATACCCAAGGTAGCGTTCGTCAATACATACATACAGTTGACTAGATGATATCGTCATTAAAGTTTCAAATAGGTTACATCCAAAATATTATCCCCTCAATAAGTGTCACCTCCATGTATTGTATATTGAACTAAATCTCAATTATAATTTGTTAATTTTGTTAACACAGTAATAAAAACTCAAGAAAAAAAAGAGAAAAAAAAGATCGTAACACTATTCTTCACCTTTAAAATTCAAGCAAAAGCAAATTTTACAGAAGAAAAACAAAACAAAGATAAACATCTTTATTTCTCAAAATAATTATCCTTTTTATATTTCTCTTCAAAGAATTAAATGCGTATATCATTTTATAAAAGATATAGAGGGATTTTGGGCTTCAGTCTTGTTGTAATATACAGTTATATATATATATATATATCCTTTTTATCTACTCATTGTTATACACTACGAAAATATGAATTTTTGTATTCACTAAGCATTCATACACTTTACATAATGAATCCTTGAGGTATTATATTGAAAGCCTGGTGCTTTTATCGGAATATTTGGATGTACACGAAGTTCATAAGTAAATGTATTTTGCGTATTATTATTATTCATTTTAGTAGACGATAAGTATGCTGATAATGATTTTGTAAGTGGGATATCAGGAATTCCAGATGAAATTAACATTTTCCATGATTGAGTAGTTGTTATACTAGAAGATAAAAATAGACCACATGGTTTTACTCTTCCATAGTTATTTACAATCAACTTTTCTTCATAATATCCATCACTATGATATACATGAGTAAACATATCGTTCAATGATATATCATATTTATAAACATCTATTGTACCATCGATTTGAAGGACACCAACATATACACTATTATCAGTATTCGAGGATGGATAATGGACAAGGATTTGAACGATCTAGGCAAAAGTAAAAAAAAAGGCAGAAATAGAGTTAAAATTGAAATTATACTTGTAATGAAAAACAGCCCGTACACTATTCTATTGCGCTAATTATTATTATACTATTTGTCCCTTGGGTTCCTAATGGAACATACAGCTTCAGTAGCACGTCTCCAGTGAACTCTCTTCTCTGAAATCTTTTCAACATGGTTACACGACAGCCCAGATTCTCACACGTCTTCCTCGCACGATCTCCTCCATGTCACTCTCACCTCGGATGCCCAACTCGTCGCTTCTCATCTCCATTCCACTCGAGTGCCTGGCCTGACCTGGCGCGTGATGTCCCCAAATGGTCTTCTCATTGCATGCACAATCCATCTCCATTTCCTTCCACTGCATGTTTGTTCAGCAATACCTTCTTCGTTGGTTCCTCGCTAGCCAGCCAGTCAGAGTTCCTCCTTGCTTATTCTCTCTGGCCACCTGAGCTTCAGTATCGAGCCAACGTCGGCAGTTGTTGATGAATGTCTGTAGTTTGTTAGAAATCCCTTTCGTAAAGCACCGCTAAGTCTCTTAACCATCACATAGAAGCACTGACTTCACGTTGGTGTTGAAAATCTGCATCTTGTTCCACATGCTGAGTGCAGAAGATCTCCACACTGGTTTCTGGGTAATGAACACCTGTCTTACTTTTCTGATCCTGACTTTGACATCCTCGTCTGTGCCACCACCTGCAGTTGAAACAGTGCTCCCTAGATAGGTGAGAGAGGCTACTTCCTTTAAGTTTCTCCCATTGATGGTGATTGCAGCTTGTTGCTGGTGTTGTTGGCTGGGTATCATCATCACCTCTGTCTTATCTACGTTCACTTGAAGTCCCGTCTTCGCAGCCCTGCCTCTTCTGTCAACTTGTTAGTTTTTGCGCTAAAGCCTTCGTTATTTATAAAATTGGTATGGTTCACTGTCTACTACACAAATGAATGAATCAATGAACATTTTTTCAGATGGCGGTTAGAAGTCAAATAGAAGATGAACGCTTCATCTTATTCTAAACTCTTCAGTTGTGTATACTTACAACTGAGACTTGAACTAAACATCGAGAATGAGTTCTATTATATGTATTCTCCATTGTGCAACGAGTGATATAGAAATGCATCGAAAAAGAATGAAATGATACAACAGTTTATTGATTTAATTCAGAGGAAGATGTATGAAAGCATCTAGATTACTGTAACAGACTTTGTATCAAGTAATCTAAATTTTCAAACCGTCGACTTTAGCTGTCTCATCAACGCACGAAGTCTATAATTTCCGGAAAGAATTTGTAGCTAATGGTGTGGATGTTGAAGTTGAATTGTTGTCAGGTTTGGAGTTTTAGTTGGAAAACGTTTTAATTTCATGTTAGACATTGTTATCAATCCATTAGAGCTCCGAAAGGAACTGAAGTGATTGACTGTGCATCGACATTTATAACAGGCTACGTAGCTTGAGTGTAACCTCATTGATCGGTTGGTGAGTGTTGGGCGTAACCAGAACTTCATTGTGTAAGGTGGGTAATGATCTGAGAGAAATCGAGTGCTGACAGAATTGTGAGGGCGGTTCACACTTACCGGTTGTTCACAAGGTGGAAGGTTAGTTCTTCTTAAGGTATCTGAGAAAAAAGGGTTACTGTATGACCACAGAGTCCAAGGCAAGTCTTCTTGAGGCCGGTCACTCACGGCTTTTTTGCAAGTTTGACAATCTGGTTATTTGCTTTCGGATCCGAACATGAACCCATATCACCGGCAACGGTATGCAGCGAGGTAGTGGGGGTGTGCACTTTTGGGGCCGATCTTTTCTAAACTCCACCCATCCTACCAGAAAGGCAGCATCAGTATGGTACTTGCTGGTCATTCAAGTGAAACACCTTACTGCTGTTCGCCCGCATCCAACCAGCAGTACAACTTCGCCCTCAGACCCCCATCATAGCGTAGCAATTTACACTACAATGGTAACTGCTTTTTCTCGAACCACTTTCCAACAGATCTTACTTGGATGATAGAAATTCGAGGGAACAAGCCTTCTACTAGCATAGCCTGCTGGATGACAGTGATATACAAGCCCGACCACCACGTCAAGGTACCAGATATCGGTCGGCAGAAGCTGAATGGGTGACTTTCTGCCACCAGTTTTCTCAGGCAGACGTGCAACCACATTATTGACTGACTGCCTTTGTTTGCAAGCAGTGTGTTAAGGTTGCTTCTTTTGACTGGTTAATTCTGCTTTGTATGAACTGATGACGATTGCTTTGATCTACCTGGCTGACACTTTCGTTCAACTGAAGCGGTGCAAATTGAATTCTATACGTCAAAAAAGAGCACTTTTCACCGGCTGTGTGTCGAAACACTAACGTTACCTAATGAATTTTTACTACAAGGTAGGAATCCAAAATTCAGCGACTCATTCTATTATTTTCATTAAAAACCTAGTAAACTATGGATATTACTAACGGCACCACACAAGCAACATATGATGAGAATAGAGTTGTAAAGCAACAGGATAGACTGAAAAAGATTTCATTACTTTTGTGTAACTTTTCAGGAACTATAAAAAGCATACAGTCTCTAGAATTTCATCCACAGAGCAGTGAAACATCCGATACAAGTACCCTTCATCTCATAGCATCAATTCATATACTGATCACCTCATGAACAGAAGTTGGAAATATGGACCATTGGATTCTGATCCAATGGCTCAATGGTAACGCACTGGCCGAGGAACCTGAAGGTCGCGGGTTCGATCTCTGACGGGGTCGTGGGTGCACACTGCTGAGGAGTCCAATAGTGGGACGAAACAGCTGTCCAGTGCTCCCAGGTTTCCTTTATTCCTCCAACTGATATCAGTCTACGATGAATAACAACTTGAAATATTTCTAAATCTCCACAACTCCCTCAAAAAAATTCGATAGAAGCATATTGTATAAATAACTGTCTTAATTATTATATTATTATTAGTCCCTTGGGTTCCTAGTGGAACATAGGGCTTCAGTAGCACGCCTCCAGTGACCTCTGTGCTCTGAGATCTTTTGAACCTGGTTCCACGACAGCCCAGAAGCTCTCATTTCCTCCTCGCACGATCTCCTCCATGTCACCCTCGGACGTCCAACTCGTCGCTTCCCATGGGGATTCCACTCGAGCAACTGGCCTGACGCGTGATGTCCTCAGTCGGCCTTCTCAGTGTATGCCCAATCCATCTCCACTTCTTCCTGCATATTTGTTGCGTGATAGGTTCTTGGTTGGTTCGTTCCCAGAGTTCCTTGTTGCTTATTTTTTCTGGCCATCTGATCTTCAGCAGCGAGCGTAAGCAGTTGTTGATGAATGTCTGTAGTTTATTGGAAATCCCTTTCGTGACGCGCCAAGTCTCTGAACCATACAAGAGCACTGACTTGACGTTGGTGTTGAAAATCCGTATCTTGTTCCGCATGCTGAGTGCAGAAGATCTCCACACTGGTTTCAGGCTAATGAATGCCTGTCTTGCTTTTCCGATTCTGACTTTGACGTCCTCGTCCGTCCCGCCTGTAGTTGAAACAGTGCTTCCTAGATAAGTGAAGGAGGTTACTTCCTTCAAGTTTCTACCGTTGACGGTGATTGGAGTTTGTTGTTGTTGTTGATGGTGGTGGTGCGGTATCTTCATCACTTCTGTCTTCTCTATATTCACCTGAAGTCCCGTCTTAGCTGCCTCCTCTGTCAACTTGTTAGTTTTTGCCTGCAGATCTTCAAGTTTATGTGACATTAGGCATAAGTCATCGGCGAAATCCAAGTCTTCTAGGTTCTTTTCCGTCGTCCAGTGTATCCCCCTCTTCTCGCTGCCTACTGTTTGCTGCATGATCCAGTCCACCACAATTAGGAATATCATGGGGGATAGTAGGCAACCTTGTTTCACTCCTGTCTTCACTTCAAAGGCATCACTGAGCTTAATGGAAAGTGTAAAATACTTTATCACTACTGTATAAGATGTCAATGAGAAAACATTCCTTCCTATGTCTCAGTTTTATCGTTTATTACAATTACACCTAACAAGATAAAATGTAATAAAAATTTTTGAAGATTAAAATGAAAAAAAGAAGAGAAAACAGATTAATTCCATAAAACATACTTGTTTACACCTAATCGAAGGTGGTTTAACTGATTCTTTCAGCTGTACAGTTTCATTCGAATGCGAAATTTTCACACTGTTTAATTCACATTTAGGATTGCGAATATCATAAACAAGTAAATTCCCCATGTAAGTTCCAATTAACAATTGATTTGTTGTAAACCAATGAAGTGTCCTGAAAAAATTATATAATACAAACTTAGGTAATAAAGTCATAAAAAAACACAGTTACAAGTAGTTTATTTCATCAGCATCTATAGCTAACAACCTATAAGATCCTTCCTTTATATATCTAATCAATTTTTAAAAGGTTGAGTTTAGTAATAACCACCTCTATTATACTCTACTATTGAGCAATCCATCTATCTAGATCAACCTAGGACCAGGCATTACTGCGTAACACTCCTAGTTGCCACACCTCATATCAGCACATCAAGTAAAAAAGTAGTGAGGTGAAGGATGAAGATAAGTGAATACAGTCAAAAGAAATATAAAGTACGAGAAGAAAGGAAAGAGGAGTGACAAAATGGTGAGATTCGGTATAGCATCGTTAAGATGAGGATAATGTGTGTATACATCTGCGCCACTCACTTCGGTTCTCAGCCATGTGATCACGTACAGTCTCCAACCACTGGTTCCTCTTATCCACTGACCCCAACCACCTAGTCTATATCGTCCTACATTGCTTAAACCAACAGTCAGAGACTTCATACATTGGTGTCATGTTTTAGTCTGGCCACCTCGGGCCTTTCTCCAGCCTGGACCCACTTCAGCCAACATTGTGTGACAAGGCAATCGGTGATTACGCATACCAAACACATGTCTGAGCCAACCATCTCAGTCGATCAAGGTTCACAACCTCGTCAACCGACTTACCTCTTCTACCTAAAACTCTACTCCTGACTTGTGCGTTACTCACGTGGTGACACCATGGAATACGGTCTATACTACGAAGGTAACGGTGGTCAAACACCTCAAGCCTTCTCATATCTTCCACCTTGAATAGCTATGCTTCACAGCCATAGAGTAGAACAGAGCGGACTGTTGTGCAGTACATGCGACCCTTAATAGACAATCGGTTATCACGGTGGCGCCGCATATGGCGTAAGTTGGCGAAAGCCAATCGAGCCATTTGTATCCGTGCAGAGATTTCACTGGCCACTGAGGCACCAGCGCTGATCCTACTTCCTAGTTAAGTGAAATCGTCGACACACTCAATCATTACACTTTCTTTTGATAGCCATGGCACTGTTGAGCAATACAAGAGAAGATTGCTCACCTAGTCTTGAAATATATATTCATCTCTCCAAAAGGTTAACAATGGATTATAGTATTTAAAAATACAGTAACAATCGGATCAAAATGACATCAGTGCAAAGATATAAAAGTTGAACAATATGATTAAACTGATTACCTGAATTCTGGTGAATGAATCTATTCTTAATCCTGAGTTATCATTTGACCTAGGATTTTGGTAAGTGAACACTTCAATAAACATGTTTAACATCCATGCACAATTAAGTGAAGTGAATCATTTATGAAGTCATACTTTTAAACAAAACTCCAGTTGAAACAATAATTTAATCTTAAAACAGTATCTACTTGCCAAAAGTTGAAAAGACTCATTACAACTAATTAATATTGTAACTCAAACCGGTTTACTGTTTATGTACTAGGCTTTGCATTATAGGTGTGTTATATGAGCGCGATTGTCTAGGTCGAAATAAGCTGAATAAGAGCTTGACTTGTGTGTGATGTTGCACAAACTGGAAGATGTACAGGCAAAAACTAACAAGTTGACAGAAGAGGTGAGGCGAGGCAGCGAAGGAAGACGGGACTTCAAGTGAACGTGGAGAAGACAGAGGTGATAATGATACCCAGCCAACACCATCATCACCACCACCAACAAGCTGCAATCACCATCAATGGGAGAAACTTAAAGGAAGTAGCCTCTCTCACCTATCTAGGGAGCACTGTTTCAACTGCAGGTGGTGGCACAGACGAGGATGTCAAAGTCAGGATCAGAAAAGTAAGACAGGTGTTCATTACCCAGAAACCAGTGTGGAGATCTTCTGCACTCAGCATGTGGAACAAGATGCAGATTTTCAACACCAACGTGAAGTCAGTGCTTCTATGTGATGGTTAAGAGACTTAGCGGTGCTTTACGAAAGGGATTTCTAACAAACTACAGACATTCATCAACAACTGCCGACGTTGGCTCGATACTGAAGATGAGATGGCCAGAGAGAATAAGCAAGGAGGAACTCTGACTGGCTGGCAACGAACCAACCAACAACCTATCGCTCAACACATATTCACTGGAAGGAAATGGAGATGGATTGTGCATGCAGTGAGAAGACCGTTTGGGGACATCACGCACCAGGTCAGGCCAGGCACTCGAGTGGAATGGAGATGAGAAGCGACGAGTTGGGCGTCTGAGGCGAAAGTTACATGGAGGAGATCGTGCGAGGAAGACGTGTGAGAATCTGGGCTGTCGTGTAACCATGTTGAAAAGATTTCAGAGAAGAGAGTTCACTGGAGACGTGCTACTGAAGCTCTATGTTCCATTACGAACCCAAGGGACAAATAAATAAATAATAAATAAGAGCTTGAAGATGATTGTTTGAAAGTTGAATGCTTAGACCTAATGAGTCAAAACATACTATCGTATAGCATATTCTTTAGATATTTACAGTTACCATAGAAACTTCTCTAAAATACGTCCCCCGCCCCCCGTAAATATGATACTCACGTTGGTAAATCATCATAAGGCAAAGATGAACAATTGCTTGATTGTAAAACAGTTGGATTTAGTACACTATTGATACGTATATCCCAAAGACAAATTTTTCGTCGACAATCCAATGGAGTTAGAGTAGACAAGAGAAAATTCTCAGCATTCACTTCATTAAAAGTTGTTGTTTTACTCGATAGCATAGATATATCAGGTGAGAAAGCAGAACCATTCACAGGCCAACTGGTCGAGTTTATACACCATGATTTGATAGGCATTAAAGATTGATAATCCCATAACTAACAAAGGAAGAGAGAAAGACAGAGAAAAGTAATCCATATGAAACAGTATAACTGACTCTACTGATTAACATTATCATAGACAAGCTATTCCTATCCTACTTGTCTATTCCCCCTTATCAATTCCTCATTCGCCTGTAACACTTCAATCATCTTTCATAACGAGAAATGCGATAACTTCAACAGATTACCACTAGGGAAGAACCTATAGTCAAGCAGTAATCTAAGTTTCTGCGGTCAACTGATTTATACAGTCTATAGTAAACAATATATCGTCTTCCTCGCCACCAAACATACATACACACACAACCATCACTAATGAAGTTTTAGCATACAAACTGTATCACTAGTTACTATGCCAGAGGTATGAGCTAACAGCTTAGAGCTTGAACGCGTACATGGTTGACAGATTTTAATCTCTGTTTTTTCTGTTAACAGTCTTGATGTTGATTTCAGAATGAAAACAATGTTGAACATACCTTATTATAAGAGTGCTAAAAATTTTCTTATAGAATGAGATTACCTAACTTATTGTCATGTCTGAAACAGAGATATAATGCTAAAACTGAACACTGAAACTCTAAATTTTAGGAAAATTCCCACTATACAATTAAAAAGACATTTCAACAAATAAAAAAATTTTCTTCGCTAGGATAAATTTTTTATCAGATCCCACAGTTACCTAGGCATATTGTTTAGGTATATGAATGAAATATATGTCAGGAGCAATACAAAAGATTGTATAACAGTGAACAGTTAACAACAATTAATCTTCTTCAATGAAGATGTGAAGTGAATAGAAATGTATTACGTAACCTTGTGAACATTTATATAATAGGCAACGAATCACACCTATTGTAAAAGAGCTACCTAACTGCCCAAACCTCGGCAGGTGGAACATGCATCCATCCAAATCAACATACGACCAGGCAGTACTGCGTAACAGTACGAGTTATCACACCTCATATCAATTACTACACTCAAATGGAAAATGAAAAAAAGAAAATTCAGAAAATGGTGAGATTCGGGTAAAGTGTTAAGATGAGGATAATGTATGTATATGTCTGCTCCCAACGGAAATCGGTTCTCAGCCATGTCACCTACTCTCCAACCACTGGTCCCTCTCATCCACTGACCCCAACCACCTAGTCTGCATCACCACACATGGTTCAAACCAACAGTCAAACACTTCATACATTGGTACCATATTTTAATCTGATCGTCTCGAACCTTTTTCCAACTTCGACCCATCTCAGCCAACATTGTGTGACAAGGCAATCGGTGATTACGCATACGAAACACATATCTGAGCCAACCATCTCAGTCGATCAAGGTTCACAACCTTGTCAACTGACTTACCTCTTCTACCTAAAACTCTACTCCTGACTTGTGCGTTACTCACGTGGTGACACCATGGAATACGGTCTATACTACGAAGGCAACGGTGGTCAAACACTTCAAGCCCTCTCATATCTTCCACCTTCACTGGCCATATTTCACAGATATAGAGCAGAACAGAGCGGACTGTTGTGCAGTACACGCAACCCTTAATAGACAATTGGATATCACGGCGCAGCCACAGGTAGCTGTTCCTGTTCCACCTGCAATACTAGGCCGACTCATATTGCAGGTGGGACAGGATCTGAACTCATGACCCAACAGCTGAAAGTCAACTACATAGACCAACGAACTACACTAAACAAAAGATTATATATACTAAGGGGTTTCAAATCAATACAAATCTGCGGAAGACAAATTTTGTTCACTATAAATTAGTACAAGTGATAACTTTATATTGATAAAGACTGCGCAGCAGTTTGTCCTGTCCTGTCTTACGGTTATAAAACATGTGTGTTAAAATAGAAGACATGAAGCGTTTGCAGGGTTTTGATAAAAGATGTCTTTATAGCACTGTTCGCGTTTGGTGTAAATTTCCATATGATCAATGTTGAGGTCAAGCGAAGGGTACTAAGCAAGAAAGGTAAGTCGATTGATAAGGTTGTGAAACTTAGTCAACTGAGGTGGCTTGTTAATATAAGAGTAAAACTTGGGCACTGTGGTCGATTGTAATTCCAGTTTAATCTGTTTATCAGAAATATCACACAGTGAAACAGTAGCATTCACTGGATAGCCACGTTTCGGATTCATAAGCCAGGTTATCCCATCAGGCCTGTAGTAGATTCTAGAAACACTCCGACTTACGAGTTGTCTAAATATTTAGCAATGGTGTTAATCCCAATAAGAAGTCACTCAAAGTCTCGACTTACCAACTCTTATGACTTAAAGCATAAATTAGACGACATACGCTTAGACGACAGTGAATAAATGGTTAGTTTTGACATAACTAGCCTTTACACAAATATACCGATCGACATAGTTCTAGAGGTAGTTCAAAATGGGCTTAAAGATGACAAAGAACTTATGCATAGAACTAAGGTGCCGATCGAGCAAATCATACTAGGAGTACAATTGTGCCTAACATCTACAGCTTTTAAGTTTCAAAATAAAATATATCAACAAACTGAAGGTGTTGACATGAGATCACCAATATCCCCTATCGTCGCAGACATATTTATGGATAGTTGGGAACATATGACCCTTCAAACATTTAGTCCTACTCTAAATATATGGTTCCAATATATAGATGATACGTTTACAGTACTGAAATCGAAACACATCAATAGGTTCTTGGCACATATAAATTCAGTAGTGAATGCAATCCAATTTATCTGTGACTTAGAAAGTGAATAAGGTGAGCTAGCAATCTTCGATTGCAAGATTAAACGAACACAAGAAGGAAATCTAGAGACTAGTGTCTATAGGAAACCTACCCATTCGAATCACTACTCAGACTTTGAATCCTCCCACCCCATTTCAGTTAAAGTAGGTCTAGTCAAATGCTTAAGTGATAGAGAGAAAAAGATTACTAGTCGATCGGGAAATCTGCGACAAGAAATTAGACACATCAAGAATGCCCTACGTCTCAATAATTACCCACCAAAATTTATAAATAAATTCATGAGAAATCGAAAGAAAAATATTAGCAGTGGTAGTAGTGAAAAAACAGAAGACAACTCGACGAGAGAATGTTTATTACGAACAATTGGAATGGTAGTGGTTACATATGGTACTCCTTGCACTAACGCAGCCATTTGCATATGTCTTCGTTTCCTCTCCGTTCCTGTCTTGATTTGGTCTTGACCGGCTGTTCATACACTCTTATCAGTAGCATCCCCTGTAATACGCCTATGTTGTCCCCTGCGTTGCTCTTGGCAGAAACCTTACCCATTGCCGGTAACTCCTTATGATTCCTGCCACCCTCTCGATATATACTACTTATATCCGTTGTTATCAGCAACGCTCACTACAGTAGTAGTAATACAGGTGTTAATAATAATAATTCCACCACTAATGGTAATAACGGTGATAGGGTCAAGAAAAAATTCAAAGCCTCTACTGTGTTACCATACAAAGAAGACACCTTAGAAGCATTATCAAGAATTCTCAATGAGGCTGGGATTAAAGTAGCATTCAAACCAACAAACTCACTTAGAAGCAAGCTTTCTAGGTTAAAAGATCCTGTCGTTGTAATTAAACAAAATAATCTGGTTTACCAGATCCCTTGAAATGATTGTGAGGTCAGGAACATAGGTTAAAGCAGTCGACCAGAGTCGATTAGAATAATAGAGCACAAAACTTAGCTAAATCAAGATTAATAGATCCTAATAAGATAAGAAATCTAGAGAAAAGCTCGGCTATAGCTCTGCATGCGATGACATACAATCACACAGTAGGGTGGGATACGGCGACAGCGTTGAAAACTAACTCAGTTGAGTGGAGGGAGAGATTGATAACTGAATCTTTGTTTATCGAATCAACACCAAATACATTCAGTAATCGAGATGATTCTGCACCTGTCCCAGATATATGGAAAATTCTACTACCCTTGTCATCACAGAGAAGGAGAGAAAATTAGGAATACATAGTCTGTTTTGAAGTTGTGGAGATACTTGATATGAATGAATATGGACAATAAATTGTGTCCGAAACGTTATCCAGTAAATGCTACTGTTTCACTATGTGGTATTTCTAATAACCAGACTAAAATGAGGTGGCTTGGATATTTACTACACTAAGCATGCCGATCAACCGCCTACCTCGACCTGCAATACTGAGGGAAGTTTGATTAGGTTGGTAGAAGGTTCAAAGTGGTCAAATCAAGACGTGGCACCGGTCCATGAAGTCTCTGATGATTGGCCTGAGCCGTGTTAAGAGATGTAGACTGCCGGATTGGGGTCCTTGAGATGAAAGGAATCAGTGGTTGAGGACTCTTGGTGACATGGTTGAAAACTGGTCACATTGGTGCAGATGTATTCACTCCTTGAAGTCTTCTGAAGCTTAAATATTCGTACTGACCGTTATCTTCAAATTGTTTATTCTCTCACACAACTTTGTCTACTTTGATATCACTTCTTATCTACCTGTTCTTTTTGTACTACCATGAAGTGTGGCAACTTGAGGTGATGCATATGCGTACGAGGTTTTACGCGCTGATTTTGTCAGTTAGTCTTTCTTCTCCGATGAATGATTGTGAATAAAGCCTGAAAATGGATTCTTAGTGTTGAAAGCAACGATATGACTAGAAGTCGAGAGAACTTGACTGTATAGAGGAAATAGAGTGTAGGTCATTGTATACAAATGTTTGTATATGAATGTAAGATTCGATACACAAAGGTATATAATTTGCATGAATACTAGTTTAACCAAAATATAACATATGTAAAGGTACAATGTAATAAGCTAGACAAATGCGATCAGATGCTTCAGGATTCAGGGATATGAAAGTTGAAAATTAATCTTCATGTGATAAAACGCTTAGGAATTTAGTTAAGGTAGTATGCATCACAGATTCATATAAGTTGGAGGACCAATGAGAACCTGAGGGCACTAGACAGCTGTTTCACCCCAGCACAGGACTCTTCAGCAATGTGCACCCATGA